GCGCGCTCACCTGCCCTGAACGACGACGCCAGAAGGCTGAAATCCAAAGCCACTTCCAATCAAGTTGGGACAACGCGTTCGCCTTGAACCCGAAGATGAGCAACGACCTTGTCTTTGGAGCGCATTCGGCAAAGAGCGCTTGTCTGCTCTTTTTATCGATGTGGAACACAACATTCCGGCTTCGTCGAATCGGCTTGCTATTCTGGGGCGATTCGGAAGGACAAGCGGGACGAACGTTGCGGCGGAAGATTCGAATTTGGAGCCAGCTGACTTTTTGTGGGAAAACTCAAGTTCTCGCACTTGCCGTGGGGCAGTTTTGTGCCGCCCTTGAAAGTCATCGGGGGACCGATCAGATGTTGTTCAGAGGCAGATCTTTGACAAAGTCTGGTGCCCATCGGAAGAGATGAAGAGACTGCGATGGACGTCGGTTCAATGAAAAAAACAAAAAGATACGGAGGCACATATTTGGTCCGATTTACGCGCTCGCGTGGTCAGGAAGCGCGTGCACGTCCGCGGCCCCTCGGCGGCGCAAAAGAAAAATGGCGGCGCGTCGCGCTGACCTCGACGGTTCCCAAAACGTCCACTCCTATCCCTCGGTATCGACGAGGGAGTTCCGGAAGGTGATTTGGACGCAGCGCTCGTTGAAAAACTGCCGGCGAGTGACCAAGCGACTCGCCGACTTGAGATGGGTTCCAAAGCGCAAAGCCATTGCGGCGGGCGGACCTCGAAAAGCCGTTTGTCCTTCAGAACGCGCGGCGGCTCAGAGGAGGCGCGGGGGTCCGGGCGAGGGGGGCCGCCGGCGGAGCGTCTCGCTGGGCGGCGTAGCGGCGCCTCCTGTTGGCCCGGTACGCCTCCAGCCGCTCTTCCTCCGCCCGGGGGTCCTGCAGGGCCCCCTCCCACCTCAGACACTCGCTCACCTGCGCGTCCGGCGGCGTGGGCGACGGCGTCGGGGGCGGCACCCGGGACCCGGCCGGGCGGGGCTCCTTGAGATCGCCGTCCGAGGCGAGGGGGAGCGGCGGCTCTCTCGGGGGCTCTTTGCTCTTCTTGCACGCCGCCCGCCGCTTCGGCGTCTGACCTCGAGGCGCCGGCTCGGGCGGCTTGACTGCCGGGTTGAGTTCCGCCAGGGCTGAGGAGGGGGGACAAGGGTTAGGGAGGATTCACCTGCGTTGACTTCATCTCGCGCCCCAAAAGCGAGTCCGTTATTCATCGCGTTGCGAAGGGCCACCAAGTGGGGTATTTTTTTTTTTTTTTTTTGTGGTTTTGTTGAGAAATTGGTGCCCCTGGCCGTCGTCGGTACAATTCCTCAGAATAAATCTGTTTGAAAACTCTACTGGGGCAACTTTTGAAAACGACTACACCGGCGCAACAAGTCTCGATGACGGTCGGCGACGTTCGA